AAGAAAAATTGAAGGGGGTCGGGTTGAGAATCGACTTTTTTGGTTGATTTGATATGGAATTCACCATATATATATACAAAAGAATTACAAATAAAATTTATTATGGTTTTTAAACTTTAATCGATATAATATTTGGCGATGAAATAAAAAAAGTCGCGGTTACCGGTCTTCGATCAAGTTAAATATTATATAGAATTGTATTTTTTTTCTTCTGTTTATAAAAAATAGATATGTTTAAAAATTATGGATAAAATTATATTACAGGAATTTTAAAAAGATGAATGTTCTATTGACTATCAGTGGCGTATCCAGAATTTTCTAATGCTTTTCCCCGTGTTTTAGCTATTCTATTAAATTATTCATAATTTAATAATTATTATATTTCTATTTTTAACTATTATTTACTAATTCGTGCTTATGAATATTACAAGCCTATTTTTTATAATTTTAAGTTAGGTATGGGTCACTCCATGTCAAATCGATCAAAAAAGGCACTTTTTCGACCGACCCCTTTTAAAATTGTTAAAAATTTCTGGAATTATTTAGATAAGTAAAAGAATGAGAAAGCCGTTTATTTTAGCTCGCTAGCAACCTGGTTCTCAAGATATAGGGGCTCAAAGGTATAAAAAAGAGCCACTTTGGAATCTGTAAAATTTTTAAAATGCTTATATCTCAAAAACTATTTATAGTAAAAAAAATTATAATATATCATTTTGTAGGTAAAGAAATTCTCTAATGGGCTAACAAAGAATAATAAACATTGGCGCCATTATAGGCTTTTAACATCCGGTTTACCTAAATTGCTTTACCTGTATTTTTAAGCAAAATAGTGAGTTTGTTTTCGAATTTTTTTTTTGATTTTTATTTAGACACCTTTGCTAAATATATATACAATATCAAAACCTTGGCGACGCTATCGACTCTAAAAATTGATAAAAAAATTAGATGGCGCTTTATGAAATTACGGATTATGGTTAAAATTTAGCTGCTAACTTATTAATAACCAGATATTTTACTTTTTATACTAAAAAATTTTGATTTCATATTAAATATACTAATTAACTGAGGAGCAGAGTGGGCATATGCTCATTAGACACTTAATGTAACAAATTTCCAATAATAAATATCTTTCATATAATTTTTTAAATTTTTAAGGTATTTACAATTTCATCGAATTTTTCATTTCCCCATTTGATTGTAGGGATATATTAATGTTATCAATAGCCTCTTGATTAATTATATGAAGGGGAGAATCAATATCTACATTGTCATTTGAAGTATAAGGAATGTTTGCTAATTTTTGTCGCCATGAAGAGCATATTAACATATCTAAATTGAATGGTAAATTTTTTTGGGTCATCCAGGGTAGAATCTGTCTTAGATTCTCGCGATAATAAGCATGTCTCTGTAGATTAAATGGGTTGCAACATTTTAATATTTGGTACGGGTTTTGACATCGTATATATATTTATAAAAGGTGTCTAAATAAAAAGCAATAAAAAAATTCGAAAACAAACTCACTATTTTGCTTAAAAATACAGGTAAAGCAATTTAGGTAAACCAGATGTTAAAAGCCTATAATGGGGCAATATTTATTATTCTTTGATAGCCCATTAGAGAATTTCTTTACCTACAAAATGATATAATATAATTTTTTTTACTATAAATAGTTTTTGAGATATAAGCATTTTAAAAATTATATTCTAGCCCAAAAAGCTGCGCCGAAAAATATGATGGATCTAAAGTATTATGATATGTTAAATATTTTAAAGGGGAAGGAAGCATGTTATATACTCGCGATAGACCATGAAATTTATTCTCAAAAATTTGAAGATAGTCTAATTATTGATAAAATAAAACACGAATGTAAAAATGATAATAAGGTTAACGAAATGGATAAAGGAAACGAAAAATTCCGGAAAAAAGCACCCCACTCAAAAAAATTACCAGATTTTATGCCTTGTCATATGACCTCTAAAGATTCTTTAATTCTTACAGTTTAGCACTTGTATCAAGTATCGAGAAAAAAGAGCAAGTCACGTCAAAACGAAAGATATTTTCAAAGTATTTATTAAAGGATAAATTATATGTTAAAACCACGAAAATTTTACATTGTAATAAAATTGATGTAATACCCAAGTCTCCAACTAGACATTATCAAGATATAAAAAAAATATTTTAAAAGATAAAAATAGTGAAAAAATCAAATAAAATAATGACAATATAAAAGTGAAAAATATTTTAATGGACAAAAATAAGGGAAAATATTCACCCAAAATCAAAAAATACAAATTCGATATATGTAAATTAAAAATATTTCAATATAACATCTGGGATGACGATGTATCAGCACCTCAGATAAAATTAGGAGAAATCGGCAACAAACAGATTAAGAGACTCACGATCAGAATAATTCAACAAATAGAGCTACCGAAGAGGGAAAAATTTACGAATTCCAACAAGACTAAACTCACATCCAAGATCAACAATTTCGACATCGGAAGGGGAAGGAAATGGAAGCAGGATACGAAAATAAAAAAAATACTTAACGAATTCTTATTAGCTTATAGAAACACCCAGCATACGACTACGGGAGAAACCCCAGCACAGATGATGTTCGGACGGAATGCTCGGAATCATCTTGAAATGATTAAAGAAACCCCATGAGAGCAAACAAGACGATACTCACGCAGATCAAAGAGGTACATTTTTCAAGATAGGACAATCAGTATGGACGAAAACTTATAGTGACAAAGTAAAGTGGATCTAGGGGACTATAGTGGGCCGATCGGGGAAGTTCATATATACTGTGGATACCGCTAAGGGCCAGTGGAAGAGACATAAGGATCAAATTAGAAAATTTTTTTAAAAAAGGGAGATGTTATGAAATCTTAAGGTGATATTATTATTTTTATTTCTTTTATCGATTTTTTGGATTGTTATTATTTTTTTTATCGATTTTTTTGAATTGTGACTAATTTTTTTTGACCAATTCTTGGAATTTGTATTTTTTGAAATAGATTTTTTTTTGTTTTTTTTTCTTAGAAAATGAAAATAAAAAATTATATTTTTTTGGATTGTTTTTTTTCTTAGAAAAATGAAAAATAAAAAAGTTGTATGAAAAATAATAAAATTGAAAAAAGAAAATCCATTCAGCATTAAGGAAAGATAACCTTATTTAAGATTACGTAAATTTCGACAGAAATTAAACATAAGAAATTTAACACAATGGACTTGATAACGATATTCCGGTGGGAGATCCATCAGGATTGTTACTCCAGTGGGAGATCAAGATTGGGATATCTGTCGATCTGATAATTCGATGTGAGTAATACTCCGGTGGGATATGTGGTCTATATAGATTTAATACACTGGTGGGAAATCAAGATACTTAGGCTGGATTGGGATATCTGTCGATCCGATAAGATGTGAGGAATACTCAGGTGGGATGTCTGGTCGATATAGATTTAATACACAGGTATGAAATCAAGATACTTATGCCTCGATAGCGATACACCGATGATCGATACAAATGAAATAGATCAGAAATACAAATATAAATCAGATAAAAATAGATAGCATATGTAAAAGTGGAGATAGATAGTGAAGGACTTACCACCAGAAAAGGTGAAAGCTAAAAAAGGAAAAAGAAAAAAAAACCAAATATAGAACAGATATTTATCAAAGACAGAAATATTTTTTAATTAATTTTTCAATTTGATATTACTTGCAATTTTAAGAATATTAAAATTATTATAAGGGTTTATTATAACCAAAAAAACCAGGTTTAACACAAAATATAAAATCATTTATATTATATAATTAAGCAGAAGACAAAACAAAAACTAATAATTATTAAAATACAAACAAAAGAAAATTGAATAAATCAATTTGATTTAACCATACAAACATTATTTGACCTGAAAATTTTGTGGCAAGCTGTTATTATAAATACTCTGAGATTAGTAGAGAACAATTAGTGATCTTAGTGTTATTTTATTTAACTTTATATTTTTTAAAATTTAAGGCTAAAATAAAAATTAAGGCTGGGTGGAGGCAAAAATAAGTAAAAAAAATTAGGACTAGTGTGTCTTTTTAACAAAAAAAAAATTGGGTCAATTGACAAAAAAAAGTGACTTTACAAGGCTTTAATATAATATATAAAATAGATTTTATTAAAAAATATTTTGTTTTTAACCCTTTAAAGGTCAACATTCCATATCTGCAACTGGTATTATTTAACAATTTTTCACATATAAATCTTTTAAATTAAAATAATTTCACATGATTCTTATATATCGAAGATTAAAATGGTGGTGGCCTATTTTTTAAAATTTTATTGGTGTAGCAATGGTAAATTTGTGGAGGTTATGGAATCAAGGTAATCTGGGAAATAGCTATGACACTTTTAAAAGCTCTCCAAAAAATGTGGTACAAGTAGAGGTCCCTCTAATCTTTCTAATAAATATAAAACACTGATAACAAAAGACAACAGTGTAAGTTTGGAAGATATATGTAACATATGTTATGTATGAATTATTGTTAAACGGCTTGATTTGAGGCGATTTTTAAAAATGGCTAACTCAATATTTTACCCAGAAAAATATTGCCTAAGTCTCAAGATTTCATTAATAGATGTCCAAACCTTTGTGCCTCTAAGTGAATCTTTAGGCTTGCATAATAATTTTCTGAATAAACAATGAGTTAGCAGTTTTTAAAAATCAGCTCAATAGAGCTGTTTAACAACACTAGTATGAATACATATTCATACTTCAATTTTTTCCAATAATATAATATTATCTTATTTTTATACCCTAATGTCAACATTGTGATACGCTATGGTTCCAATTTACTATTTAGGATATTTATGTGAAGATAATTGTAAGAATTTTTAGTTAAATTAAAATAAATAAAATTGAAAAAATCAAGAATTTATATTGGCTAGAAAAATCTGCCCATTAATGGATTAAATAAAAACATTAAATAATGCAGTATAATACTTTATCAGAATTAATCATGATTGCTTCATATTCAGGTGGGAGAGATGAATATGGTGATACCATTTGATCAATATAATGCATTCTTTCTAGGGTTTCTTTACGTGTAATCTTCATTTTATCCATCATCTCTTTGGCCTATACAAATATTGGAAAATATATAGAATTACATACTAAAATATATTCATTTGCATTTTTAATTATTGCTAAATCTAATGCAAAAGTGTGTCCAAAAACAACCAAGCCTTCTCTATACAGCATTAGAGCTTTGTGAAAGTCTTTATTTTCATCTAATTTTAAAGCCTAAATTATTTAAGGGCATTAAAAATAATTTATTTACTTTATCAATTATATCATAGGCTAAATCATGATTATATCTAAGGGTATTATATATGGATGTGACTTTACCTAAATATTTTATATAATTTGCTGTAAATAAGCTTTACTTAATTCAGATTTTTCTGTTAATAGTTCCATGCTAATTAATTTAGAAAACTGAGAAATTAGGGCACTAAATACTTTAGAAAATCATGAACATCAGGCAAACGTCGAATTAACATTTTTTATTAGAAATCCTTATATTTTGACGTGAATATGACTATGCGATCTTTGGTAGGATTTTTTTAAATGTATAACAAATGTTTTTTGACAAGATTAAAAGTGAAATAGTAGCTAAAAATTGAGGTATTTATGAAATACGAGCATAATATACCTATTATTTCTTTTTATTATTCGAGAAATATGTACATTACAAATCTTATTTTACAATAAATAGATTTCAAAAACAACTAAATAAAATCAATCGTTATCTAATTTATTCGGTCTTTCTATAGGGTGGGGTGAGCAGAATAAGTTTATTAAAATTTGTTGAGGGGTTTAATTCGCATTTCTCTTTAGATAATATTTTCTACTTAGAATTAGAGGGGTAGAATTGGCGGTAATATTTTTATTAGCTTGAAAGAGCGGATAGAAGTAGCCCTTGCTACCATAAATTAATAAATTTAGTAAATTCTTTATTTGTTTGACATTTAAATAATTATATTCTGCTGATTTTTCCGAGATATTAATATATACTACTTCTTATAGCATATATATTCCAATTTAAATATATTTATGATATTTACAGCAGAAATAAATACTCTACGAATTTATTCAAAGAATTTATAATGAATTCAAATTTTCCTTGGCGTGATTTAGATACTATTTTAATATTTCCCCTAAAGCTGCATTCATAGTTGAGACGGATCCGTTTTTATATCCGTTCCGTCAAAAGTCAAACTCATTAAAAATGATATATGTGTTCATAGACTATAAAAAAATTGTAAGTAACGTTATAACGCTCTATAAGATTTGCCGGCGGATCCGTTTTTAAGACGGAAGGTATCGGAACGGACGCACTATGTGCATTCATAGTGGAGACGGATCCGATTTTTACATCCGTTCCGTCAATAGTCAATCTCATTAAAAATGATATAAATGTTCATAGACTATAAAAAATTTGTAAGTAACGTTATAACGCTCTATAAGATTTGCCGGATCAAAAAGTCAAAATGTTTTGACTTCAATCCGTTTTTAAGACGGAATGTATCGGAACGGACGCACTATGAACATATATATCATTTTTAATGAGATTGACTTTTAACGGAACGGATGTAAAAATCGGATCCGTCTCCACTATGAATGCAGCCTAAATCATTTGAAACATTTTCACTGCGAAAAACTAAAATAAATGTTTCAAAAAATGATATAGATTTGATTGAGACTATAAGTGTTGTAGTTGAAATGAAATTTGTCAATCAATCAATGAAAATGTTTTGTTATAATTATTCTATATATCGCGGATATACTTTATATATATGATATGAATAAACTATTTATCCACATGATTTAAATATAACTATCGTTAAGTTACAGGCTAATATTAAGAAGTTAAACATTACGACGTGAGGAGCACGACATTTGGATTTATCATCCCTAGTTGTAATTCTAACTTATTTATGGGGTCACGCATTTTAATAATACTATCAATATTTTTATTGATCGGCGTAATCTCAAATCCCTTAATGTTATGTCCCAAATACTCTATTTCCTGTACCTCAAATACACTTTTTTTAACATTCGCTCTTAACCCTCTCTCCAAAATCCTTGCTAACACAATCTCCAATCTCTTATTATGTTCCTCCCTCGTCTTACCCACTATTAAAACATCATCCAAATAATAAAATACCCCACTAATTCTCGAAAACACTTCCGACATGACTTTCTGAAATACCGGTGCCGATAAACTTAATTCGAAGGGTAATCGTAAAAAACTAAATAAACCTTTTAGCGTATTAATTGTTAACATATCATTCATCTCCTTATTCACCCTTAACTGTAAATATGAATTGCTAAAATCCACCTTTGAAAACCATCTAGCCCCTCCCAAACTAGCTAGGATCTCTTCCACCCTTGGCTACGGATATCTCACCTCAACTAAACCCGGGTTCAAAGTTATCCTAAAATAGCACACAAACGTAACTTACCATCTGCCTTGTAGCCCACTCACTATGTACCACAGGTATTATTATCCCTTCTTCTTTCCACCTATCTAACTCATTATTAATCTCCTCGCGCCATTGGAAAGTAATTCTCCTTGTGGGTAAAAATCTAGGTTTGTAATCTTTCTTTATACTCATACTCACTTCAAAATCTTCAAAGTCCCTAATCATTCCTCAAATATTATCTTATACTCCTCCAAAATCTCCTATATTCCCCTCTCAAATCTTCCATCACATTCCTTACCCTCCCGCCTCATATTATCAGTTATCATCAATCCACCTTCCCCTTTCCTTTGCATTAATCGTATCTCCTCTACCTCCTCCTTCTTACTCATTTCCATCTCGATCCCCCTTAAATTCACCCCACCAATGATACAATGGTCCTACCCACTATAAATTATCCCCCAATATGATTTCCTCCAATTTATCTACTATATAAAATCGAATAAAATTATTAACTCCTGGTATTCGCACTGTTAACTCTCCTCTACTGACCATCGTTTTCCCATTCAATAGATACAATACCTTATCTGATCTCTCTAACTTCCTTTCCGGCCAATAATTTAACACTTCCCCTATTGCCATTAAACTTACTGTCGCTCCTGTATCAATTAAAAATTATACCTTTATCCCTTCCATATTTAAAATCCCATGTGGACATCTACTAACCCTTTCCCCAACCCTAGACATTAACCTTGAACCCTCCACAAACACCCTTTCAGCCTCACCCTCACTTCTCTGTTTGGACTCTACTTGTGGACACAAAAAAAGAATAGCTGGAAGCATTATATTGAAACATAATGAAATTCGGACAAATGAGTATTAAATAACATAGAATTTATGAAATAACACATCAATTACCCTTTTATCTGGGAATTCTTGTGCCATCTTTCAATTTTTATTCTTTAGATATTTTTTTTTAAATTCAAATTTTGATATTAAAAATAAATAAACACGTCATGATGACATGCGTAGTGAGGCTGAGGATGACATAATGAGTAGTGTTGTTAAAAAACTTGATTCGTGTCGATTTTTAAAACGGCCAGATTAAGATTATAACCAAAATAATATTGTGTAAGCCTCGTAAGTTTACTTATAGATGACAAAATGATTATATTTTGGATAAAATCTTAATCGGGACGTTTTTAATCGACCCAAATCGGGCTTTCAAACAACACTAGTAGTGAGTATATCGGAAATTTATAATATAGGTATAGATTATGAATCTCATTATATGTCAATGTTGAGTCAAAAGAAAAGCTTATGAATTTAATAATTTCCTATCTCAACTCACAACAATAACAATAAGCCTATCATTCTGATTATCATATAGGGTCAGTCAAAGAATACCATAAATTAAATCTTCTCCTTCTTGGATACTTTTATAATTCAAATGAAAAGTTCTTGATTAATCAAGCAGCACTTTCAAATCTGCAAATAATATAAACGCAGAATTCTTTCGAATCTATTTAAAATTTTAGTAGATGAAAAATTAAATATTTGGCAGATTTCTTTTGTGAAGATTTTAAAAATATCCCATGATGCATTACTAACTTAATGCAAACTATGGCATGCATATAACACATTTTAGATATTTTCTATTTTTACTTTGGCAACTCTGCGCATTAGTACTTCTACTAATGAAATAACATTTTCTTATTTAACAAGAATAAGGAAAGTAATGTTATTAAATAGCTCGATTTGAGGAAACTTTTTCCCCATTTATTGGAAATCTTAAGGTCTCCTTATTGTAGACCTCTGACTATATAATATTTGGATAAAAATAATTATGGGTTATCATATATTTATTAAAATACTTTTTTTTATAAAAATTTTAATTTATAGTCGTTATTTTAAAATGTTATTAACTTTTACTAATTTTTCTTTCAAATTCTTCCTTATAATAATATATTGTCTAAATTTTTGGGGGAGTGGGAGTTGTGTAGGGTGATGATTTAATTTAGCATAAAATGATATTTACGAGATCAGGCAAATTTGCGATGAGGGGGAATATCCCCCTTTCTCACCCATTGGTTATGCGCCTGACCTATGAGGAAAATCTTCAAGCTTGCGTAATATTATTCTAAATAAAATATTGAGCTAGCTAAATTGATGAAATATTAGCCTTTCTTAATATACATAGGAAGTTGACACCAAGCACTGATGAAATTATTGAAAAATTAACTAATCCCAAACAAGATTAAATTTTACATTATAAATTTATTATATTGTGTAGCATCACTGTAGGGGGGGGGGGGTCAGGGTTGAAAAGATAATTGATGCCCCCGATATAATGCTTCTTAAATATTTTCTCCATTTTTTAATACACCATATGTTTTCTCATGAATACATTTGGTAAGTTTATATATGTTAGCAACAATGTGTTTTTTTAAGCAATATTATTCTTTCAACTTTATGATTTTTTGAGCCATTTATTTTAATTTAAAAATCTTATTTTATCGGAAATCTACCACATGTTTGAACTATCAACCCTATGAATTTCAGACAATTTTGCCGTAAACTTTTGAACTTAATTTAATTTATATTAGTTTTTTAATATAAATTATATTAAATTTTAAATATAACAGATTGCTAGAAAAAACACATATTGCCGCTAACATATAAAAGCAATATTTCTTAGAAATATTTTTGGCATTAATCTATATTTCCAACATGTTTTTTAAAAATATAATTTAAAAACTTTAAATTCGTAAAAAATTAATACTTTTTCAGACATTTGTCTAATAGTGATTCACACACTGATTATATATAAAGACAAGCGGGGAAAATCTTGCCCTGAGAATGGACTCGCTAGTAGTCTGTCTTGTCGTCAGTAGTGTGATAATAATATTTTAGATTGTGAATAAAGTCTTTTATTAAATAACAAATTTAATGATGTAAAAAACTGATTTAATATTATAATATAAGGTGTCTTTTTATATCAAAAGTAAATCAATTATGTAAATATATATCATATAATAACGTTTTCTATATCCAATTTACTTAATATAAAAGTTTAATTTAATATATCACACGATAGCCTTAAACCTTCATTATCAAAAATGAAAAAGTATATTAACACAATAAAAAATAAATCTTTACAAATATGTAACAATATACATTTAATATTTTATTATTATATATTTGAATTTGTGTACTAGAAATTGTAAATATTTTATAGTTATCAGTCTTAATAAATTTCTGAAGCTTGAGCTATTCATAACTCCTAAAATAATTCTATAATAAAAATTAATTACTCCCCCCCCCCTCACCCCACCGTGAATTCCTGCATACGCTCCTAATATATTGTTATCATATTTATATGCAGGAAGATATTTATTGGTAGAGCTTCAGCCTGAACCGACTGGAAACTGGAATGAACCGTTATAATTTTCGTAACCGTAACCGAACCATTATAAAGAAAATATAAAAAGCGCGAACTGAGCTGTTATAAATATTTTGAACCTATTTAATCGGTTCATAGCGATTATAAAAATAATTAATATTAAATTGTTAACCTAGATTAAAATTTAATAATATTCCTATTAATATAATATTGACTCATTTATACTATATTAATATATTGGTAAACGATTATGAAAAAAAAAATCATAATAACAAAAGGACAATATTGAGGCATAAATCATAAAATAATGTAAAATACAACATAAATAAAAGCGAAAGCAGCAAAATTATTCAAAACCTCTTTTACCTAATCATCAGGAGAGATCGAATTAATAAAACAAACATAATTAACCTTAATAATGGCTATTGCAATCCTCTGCCTTAAGTAAAAACCTTCGCGAGGCTCTCAGAATTTTTTCTGATTAGGCGGCCAACGTCTTTAAAAATGTTTTTAGCCAAATCACCATATGTAGTTAAGGTGGAGCAAATGATGGGTATGAATATGTAATTTGAGGAATCAGCGCTGTATTTGCTGATCTTAAAATTTTGAGCTCTGTTAAGAGCGTCCTTGTTAAAATTAGAAGGGGAGTTAGTGTCCAGACAAGAGAAATCCCATATTAGAAACTTTCCTTGAGACCATGGGATATGTGTGACCCCATCAGGACGCCTACTATCGGAAAATAAGCCAGAAGGCTCCATTGAGGTAGGAAAACCAGCTGACCTAAGTGCAAGAGATATGATTTGATTGCATTTCAAGTGTCGAGTTTACCGACCGGGATTACGATTGCAATGTAAAGGATGCAGCGCCCTATTGTTATCATCCGTATGACATTTGCTGCATTTATATGGTAATGGTATGACATTTGCTGCACTTTTCAAATTAAAATTTTTTTATACAATTAAATCGGCATTATCTTCATATCGATCAATACCAATTTTAACGTTTTTACTTTAGTTAATCAATTTAATAGAGATTAGGCAAATTACTAGTTAATTAGATAAGAAATAAATTTCAAGGTTAAATTAAATAAGGTTAAATTAAATAAGGTTAATAAAAATATAAATTGAAAAGATTTTTCTCTAAGATTAATTTATATATGGTTTATGATTATTTTTTTTAAAAATCAAAATTATAAAAATCGGATCGAAAAGACGGTTATAAATATTAAACCGAACCGATATGAATTTCTTTAAAAAACCGAATTGAAACAAAATCTTTTTAAAATTTCTAGCTAAAACTAGAAACGAATAGAACCGATATACTCAACGGTTTGAAGCCCTGTTTATTGGTCAACATAAAAGATATAATAATTTAATATCCTTATCCTAACCCTAAAGCTGTTTTTTGCATATACTTTTTGTTAAATCCAATCTAATGAAATTATCAAACCTATAAAAGTTTGATTAATATAAGGCAAACGAAAAGTAATAGGTAAAAAAGCGCCAGACAGCTTTCCTTATATAATAGGAATTCTACTATAATTCAACAAAAAAAACATGATTTTGAGCCTGACTCCTAGATTTTTTAAAAATAATAAATTTGTTATTTTAAAATCCTTCAGATAGAGTTGTTTTTCCAAGCAATTCAGCCATTTTTAAAAACGACTGGATTTAGTCCATTTCTTAAAAACGGTTAACTCAAGATTTTAACTAAAGAAATTTTTACCCAAACCTGGAGATTCTACTCATTGATGTTAGATATAATCAAAGATTTTTTAACGAAATCACGAAGCATAGGTTATATTATTTTGGCTGCATAGGTGTAGCCAGGATTTTCATAACCTTCACAACATATATGTAGAAGAACTTAATCACAATTTTAAATAGTTATATAATTAAAATTTTGAACAATTGTATAAATATTTGAGATAATGTAAAAGTTTTAGATTTATTTTTATTTCCTAAAAAATTTATTATACTTTTTAAGTCTTTAAAAATTATTTTTTTGGACCATCCTTTAATTATATAAATTATCACCCAAAAAAAAAATTAAAATGAGCAAAATTAATTCAATATTATTTCATGTTTATAATGTCTTCATATTCTGCATTTTGTCGCCTGAGAATTATATTATTCTATCTCCACTTTTTCGCACTTTACAAGAGAGCAATTTTAAAAATTCCTTATCTATATTTTGACTATTATAAACAGGGAACCGAAGCGTTATTTATAACGGTTCAGTTTGGTTACGGTTTAGTATGTAAAAAGTTATAATGGTTACGTTTTGGTTACGGTTCTTAAGAAAAAATTTATAAAGGTTCAGTTCGGATCAGCTAATTGTAAAAGTTTATAATGGTTCATTACGGTTATAAATTTTTTTTTATTGAAGCAACACCATCGTCTAATTATTTTTATTATAAGCATCTATGAATTATATATTAAAAAAAATATATATAATTCAAAATAACTCATCTTTTAATATATTATTAGAACGCATAAGTAATATATTTTCAAATGGATTCATATTAGTTCGTTGTGACGATAACTCAAATTTTAGCCCCGATAAGGTCCTTCTACAGAAACTTGTGTTGCGGGAACCGTCAGTACTATAAGAGCAAGTTTATGTAATTCTGGATATTCAATTTTTTTCAATTCCTAAAATATAAAATCTAAACCGGTTTAACTTTTTTTATAAGGGTTCTTTTTGCTCCTTCAAAAAATAATTATCGGTTCGGTTCAGATATTTATAACGGTTCACTCCGGGTCCCTGATTATAAATGCTTTCCTAATTTTTTTTTAATCTAAGGATGTGTAAAAAATAGTAAGATAGAAAAAATACCAAATTTTATTTTTATTATTTTAAGAAATATTATTCTATCTCCAAACAACTTCTCCTTAAATCCAAAAATATTATTGAATAATAATTATTACTATTGTAAAAAAACAACAGACTAACATTTTATTTTAAAAATTTAAATATAATATTTAAATGGAATGGATAAAAATTAATGTAATATTATTTTTCCTAAGATACAAAAATTCCTTTTAATTTTTTGGATCAGTAATATCAGGATCTTTATATAAAACCATACAATCAGTTAAAATAACTTTTAATTCCATTTAATACTTGAAAGCGTTTTAATAAATCTTATGCTGGATGGAATGATTATTTTTCATGGAATAATAATAAGGAGATGGAACATCTAATACTGGTTATAAACATTTATAAGTTAATAGTCTTAAATATTCGATATCAAAAAAAATCATTTTTGATAAAAATGGAGATAGAAGAACGTAATTCTTAAGCGACGGTTTCTAGAAATATTAATAAAATTTGAATGTTTCTTGAAATGTATGAATTTGATTATATTGGAAGAATTTAGACGTCTGATGGTTTAAAAAAAAATCAAAAAGAAATAGAAGCTAAAGTTGATGGTATACGACGTTTCTAAATCAGAGGCAATAGCATTGCTCGTAAGAAAGAAAGTGGTGAAAAATCAAAGCCAGAGAAATGTTTGGAAATCTATTAATGAAATCCAGAGCTTGCATAATATTATATTGGTCTTAATTTTAAAATTGGATATGATCCTTATAACACTAATCCAGGATTATTATATCAATTCTAGTAAGCAGCAATAATAAAACTATCAAATAAAGTGATTACGCTAAAATGTAAAACATGTTTTTTTAAACATAAATTTGTAAAACAATGATCATAACAATATATATGTATTTAATTAATTATATTATATGAAAGAAAATAATTTGTACTTTGTATAATATATATAAATATGCGAAATATAATATAGTATAATAAATATTTTAAAAAATAAATAAATTACCCGTTTTAAGAAAATAGAATTAACTACATTAGATTAAAATAAAAATAACTATGGAGGTTTTATGAATGACAAACTGAAAAATTTCCTAAATAGTGAATATTATAATTATACAAAAAAATGAAAATTTAATTGCTAACTATAGATATTGAAATTTTTATACCAAATAAATAAATTATGGATGATAATTAATACAAATTTTATAATATTGAAGCTAAAAGTGACAATGCAACCTTTATGCCAAATACAAAATTTATTGTTTTTAAAAATATATAACTTTTTTTATTGATATAAAAAAACATAAAGATTATATTTTAATATTGTATTTATGATATATATTAAAATAGAAACCCCCCTCCCTCCAATAAAATGATTTTATCTAATTATATATAATTGCATTGATGTTAACATAACATTTGGATATTATTTATATAAGAACTTGAAAAATAATAATTTTCTAAATTGGTAATATTACATTTAGATAACAAAATACATACTTTAGTGTAATATATACACAATGTTATTTATTATATTTGTTAGCTTTACAAATCGGAGCGTGCTTGATAAATACAGCAAAATACTTATCATGATTTCTAGAAGTTTTAAATTTAACAATTTTTTAATTAAATAAAAAAAAATTATAAATATATATTTCTAATTAAATAATGTTTTTTAAAAAAATTGGTTATAAAACTCAAATATTTATGTGTAGCACAAGAGAGAAAGGTTAGGGTAATTTTTCTTGCGTTGCAATAGTTATCGTTTTAAGCTCCGTGTAACTGTAGACGCTCTCTTCGCCAAACTCACGGCCGAGCCCGGATTGTTTGTAACCACCGAAAGGAGTTTGTTGTTTTATGGCTTGATAACAATTTATCCTGGAAAATATTATGCAATTAACAATTAATATATGCAAAAGCTATATATTCCTTCCTTAATCCGTTTTTGATCTTCAAAATAATATTTAAAGGGGGTCGGTCAATCATTAAGAATATTCGTTTATCAAAACTTAATTTATTTAAGTGCAATTTGTTTATTTCGCGTTTTTATTCTCTCTTCTTGTTAGGAGTGCTTACGAATATCAAATGGGAAAAATTTTAGGCATGCGTGGTATCACGATGCATTATATTATAAATGAAGAATTTTGAAATATGAATAGAAAGAAACCATATGGATCCAGATCTGAGCGCAGATGATAGGTAGAGAATTCTATTGATATCGTTAGTCATTATGCCTACCGCCATTCCGCATTCGTTGGAATTGGCTCTATCAATGACTTCCTCCACAGTTTTAAACTTTAGGATTTGTTGTATCGGCCCCATTATCTTTATGGAGAATGATTGTTTGTTGATAGGTTAGTGATAGTAATGAAAATATAAGAGGAAATAAGAAATTGGGGAGGGGAAGAAAAGAAAGGGGAAAAATAGAAGAAAATAAGAACTTCTTGGCTGGCGATCTTCATGGTATCTGTGACACCAGAAAATACCGTCGGTTGCAGAAAGAAACCCTTGCAGTCTACCCTATGACCACCGGCCTCAAGAATAGCTGCATCTTGCATACCAATCTCTATGAAGTCTAAAACGGAATCGAGCTGTTTTTCGCTTATCTAATAGGGCATACGATGTAAACGATATGGAAGGGGGGGGGGGGGGTTTAAACAAAAATTATTTAATTTACATTTTAAAGCCTAATGTAAACAAGTAGTAATTTTTTTTATTAATTATGCAATAAAATGTTTAAATTTTATCTTTTGAATTCCGTGTTATATAAAAAATCTAGAAAAAATAATCGAATTATTGGTATTGATACATTTCGAAATACAAATATTTCTTCATTCTATTAGATATTTTCGACTCATATTTTCGATTAAATATCAGAGAGATTCTTATAAATCTTAGGAGTATAATTGTAAAAAGAATAAATAATAATTTGAAAATGTAATTTGAGAATTTACAAAGAGGAATTATTTCTAACTAATGCGTTTTTAAAAAAAATAAATATCTGATAACAAAATATAAAGCGAGCAAAAAAAATTAAATTGTGTTATAATTATAAATAATTTTTAAAATATAAAGGGAATTTTTTCAACTATCAAAAATGGAATTCGCTTTTGTTTTCCAACCCGCTACCCTTTCTCCATATCAGTTTAAATTTTAAGTAATAATCGATCACCATGCCAATTTATTTGATATCTCAACATGCATTTTTTAAAAAATTTAAAAATCATGACGAAATATTTTTTGTTTTTAAAAAAGTATGTCATATTAACATATCGATTTAAATTTATCACGTGTTAAATAATTATGCAAATGATAATGCTAGTTTAAAATAGCAAATGGATTTACTAATTAAGGTTAGACGCTTCGATTAATTTTATAAAAAAAAATTATTTAAATAAATCGATATTTTAAACTGGGTCATTTCGTTTACCATGTGATTGAAAAATCAAAAAAAAATAAATAAAACGTCATTAAAAAAAAAGATATAATGTTAAATATCAAATTACAAAAATATCAGTCATAATTCATTCATTATTTTATTTTTTTAAAAGGGTTCCATCATGGAAAATGAGAATAAAATGATTTATTTTATAAATATTTGAATAAGATCTGGGGATAGAGGTTAAGGCGTCTAAACGTTATATCTCTCTTAAAATGATGCGCCAAAAGGAAAATAACTTTTTACAATAAAAATAAATATGGGTAATAAACTTATCCGTAGAAATAATATTTGCTAATTTATTTTGACTGAATATATTTATACTTTGAAATGTTTATGATCTTATGAGTCACCTTATTAAATCCTCATACCAATTATTCATTAATTTATTTTAAATTTAACGCTAAATATATATATATACGAATAAAAAAAATATATATAAATTGCACTAACATCAATCAATGGCTACCACGCCAAAATTTCCAGGTACTTTAATCTCCCGTTTATAATAAATACCATCATATACTATAGTGGAATAAAATATTAATAATCTCAATAACTAACCTGAGGTCCATATTGCTTGGTATTATCGAAGGGGTCACCCAGGAGTTCGGTCAATTTAGTTGCCCTCTCCCGGCTTTTGCTGATGAATTCGGCATAAATTGATTCGTGAACAAAGGTGCGACTCCCGGCAGAACAGCATTGACCCATATTGAAGAAACAGGCTTCCTGGGCTTTTTGAACTGCGAAATCGACTGGGAGAAGAAGAAAAAAGAGAGAATGGAAGGATAAATGAGCCAAAAAATGAATGAATTATAGGTTAGCGGTAGTGTATTTTATCTTTTTTACCGAATATTGGCTTAAAAAATTTTTTTTATACCGTCTACATCCCCAAACACGATGGTAGGGCTTTTCCCTCCAAGTTCTAATTTGACTCTTTTAAGATTTGATAAGCCACTGGCTTGTTGAATCAATTTGCCAACCTTAAGAATTAAAAAAAATGAAAATATAATATAGTAGTCTGTCAAAAATTTGAAGAGCCCCTTTGAAAATTTTTAAAGCTAAAAAAAATCAGGAGTTTTTAAGCCCCCCCCCTTTAAGATTGTAAAAGCTAGTGACGCTAGATACTCTTCAGTCGATAAATTTTATTGTGATTCATGTAGGTAAGGTGGTGAACGGTTCGGTCTTATGAAGGGCCCGTCCTTAAAGTAAATGGCCTCTACTAAGCTTTAACAATCAACTGTTATAGATAATAAGTAAAATCTGTCAATCAGTTATTCTCTTCAAATAACGTCGTTCATAATTAGACAGGTTGCTTGAGTAAAGTTCAGATCGTCACTTCTTTTATTTAAAAAAAATGTGAATTTAAGTTACACGTATGAAGTATTCTAGCAAATAATTTCTGAATATGACAATTGTGTTTGGAAACGTAAATGTCTCTTTGCACATTACCTTACAAGATCCCGTGAAGGTGATCATCTCGACACTCATATGGTGAGCCAAGGCTTTGCCTGCCACATCACCCCTACCAGGGACAACGCTTATCACTCCTGGAGGAAAACCTGCCTGGAAACAAATGCAAAATAAAAATATGTAATCCATACATTTAAGATTAGGGTGTTTTGGTATATATTTATTTAAAAAATAGATCGAACGGTAAACAGGGCTATTTATATTTATGTAATTTTAAATGTAGTATTGTCTTAAATATCAGACCTGCAGGTTCAGACCAATTGATATTTGAATATTATATTGTAAAATTTATTTCCCATATTCATGTTAACAGCATTAAAATATTTCTATATTCTGTAAAATTGTTAAACGGGGCTCGATTTTTTAAAAAACGGCTAACCCATAGATTTTAGATAAAAAATATCACTCAAGCCATCTATTTACGAAATCTCGAGGCTTATGTAATATTATTTTGGTTAAAATTTTCATTTAAAATCCGGTAAATCGAGCTATTTAATAACACTAATATTTTGCACGTGATGATATATCATGTAAAGATATTGCGTAATTCCTTTGTCTTAAAAAAAGTGGTGAAAATTTATAATTAATTATTTCACTTTATCACTTTTTTTGGTAGAAATATATTTTTTGACAAATAAAATTCGCGTTTTAGTTAATTTTTAGTTTCCAATAAATTCAGATAGGGCAGTGTAGGTATTATTGTATGATTTTAAAAATGCGACCAAATGTATGATAAATAAATAGCTTTTAAAACCAGATCATAGTCAATCTCAATTTAAAAAAAATAAAATCATGTGATTAACATTAAAATATTCATTTGCTTTTCATATTTTATGATTTACTTTTAAAACCAGAAAGAACCTATGGAACTAGGACAAATATATAAATTGGTAACAAACCCTTTTTCTTAAAATTTATTATGAATTGGACCCATAATTCATTTTAAAATTTAGATAAAGTTAAATTAATTTTTATGTATTGTTTAAAATGTTGTGATACATTTTGAGAGGGTTCATTTATTGTTAAAAGTTTGTTAACAGAGTTTTTAAATCGTATCCATAACCTGAAAAACTTGTAATATGGCAAATCTAATATTCGGAACAATACCCCTATTTAAAAATTATTAGTAGGGTTGTGACGATCAATAAAATTTTTCACCGATCTGATATTCGGTACTAATATATAAATTGATTTTAATTACCACCTATAGTGGATTCAATTTCATAAAAATAACTTCTGAAAATTATTTCGTTTTTATTTAAATTCTCAAAAAGTTAACTGTTCCGTTTAAAATATGGACCATGTTAATAGCTGAATGTAATTTTGTCAAATGGCTCAATTTAAACGATTTTTAAAAACGTAAGCCATGAAATCTCGAAGATGGATGTTCCATTCTACTTTCTGCCAACTGTGTGGAAAATCTCTAAGCTTGGATAATTTAGTTTTGGCTCTTTGAACTTAGCTGTTTTTAAAAATAGGTTGAATCAAGATGTTAAACAACACTGGCTTAATGTGACTTGCCAGATATTTTAAAACCTTTTTCTTGTTGAAGATATACAACAATAAAATATCAAATTTTTAGTTATTCTATCTTTTTATCACAATTCAATTCTTTTTAAAAACACTATAAATAATGAATTTTGGTTCCTTTATATTAATTATATACAATCATATTATAACCAAAAACAATAAGTATATCAGATGGTTTTTTTAAAAAAAATAGGCCAAATCCAATATTTTTAAGAACATATTAGTTACCATCCAGTATTTAATATCAGCACATCCCTAATTAAACTTTAGTTATATTTTTCAATTTGTATTTTAAAGATTAAACTCTTAAATAATTTATTTTTCTTCTTAGACATAATTTAATATATCTTTTAATTACTTTTAGTAAAGAAAGGAAATTTTTTAAAATCTTTTATATTTCATTTTTTTTAATAACTAGAAAAAATTTAATGCATAATTAGGGCAAAAACATAAAGAATTTACTTCTTTGGCAAAAAATGCCAAATAAAGGGATGTCAAAGATGTTTCTTCTGCAGGTTTGATTATTATTGTGCACCCCATTGCTACAGCTGGGGCCATCTTGTATATGAACATAATGATTGGATAACACCACTATAAGAAAAATAATGATAAATGTAGTTTTATTAGTATAAGTAAATTATGTAGCTTTGGATTGGTTAAGTATTTTAAAAAATTGTTAATTTGTATTTATATTAATATAATATAGGTATAGGATAATATATTTTCAAAAAAATAAAACTGTGACAATAGCTCCAACAACTCCAATGGGTTCACGTTTTGTATAGGTAAAATAGAATCCATCTAAACAAACCATAAATTTTTTTATTTCTAGGCACAAAAAAAATAATCCTTTACCTACTGGTATTGTTTGGCCAGTAATTTTGTCACACCAACCAGCATAATATCTCAAAACGCCAATAGCTAAAACTACATCATTTACTGAATCCTTAAATGGTTTGCCTGAATCAATTGATTCCAAACTCTAAAAAGAAAAAACTCAATGAACTAATGTATAAATTTACCGCTAGCAAAGATGTATTTTCTTCCAATATATCTGCCATCTTTAACATAATTAAAGATCTTTTAGAAGCATCTAGTAATCTCCAAGATGATGGTAAATTAAATGCCATCTTAGCAGATTCTACTGCTTCATTTATATCAGCCTATAAAATTATATAATTATTTTAATAATCATAATATTAGAAACTTCGTCGCCTTCCTCAACATCGCAAATTTTTCCCTCTGTTGCAGGATTATAGGTCGAAAACTTCTTGCCATTAATAGAATCATGCCAATCGTTATTATAGAATATCTAAAAAAAAAAAAAATTTAACCTTATACAATAATTCATGTTATACCTTGGTAAAGGGTTTAACGTTGCTTACAGGTTTTATAACGCCCTTCATTTTAGTACTGATAAAGCAATTTGGATTTACAAATGATCAGCATTTTTTTTAAACGAATGCAAGACGTCAATTCTTTTCTTTAATAAAACAAAATTTATATTTTCTGTTCTTGAAATTTTTTTCCTTGTAGTTTTTAATCATTATAATTATTTTATTTTTACATATATAAAAAGTAAATTACAAAAAAAAGAGAGACAGGATAAATTTTTAATAAATTTTTGCTTTCATCTTTACAGGAAATTTTTGTTTTTATTTTTAAAAGGGGAACGGAATTTTTTAAAATTATAATTTTCCATTACCAGCCACTTTAGGGCACGTTTATTAATTGACCAACATCTGTCGGTTCACGATCCTTTTTTGAATACAGCTAAGATAGAATGGGCAAAATTCGTCACAACCTCAACCCTATTTCCGATCTCTGTTAAGCAGAAGGATTGGGATTTACCACTTGTGAAAAACTCCGTGATTACCTTATTTCGAGTCTCTCACCATTGGCTAGATCCACATTTATTGAACTTATCAAAGATCGGGGATATGAATTTTTAGATGTTATTCCATCTACCAATCTCAAACTCGAATTGGACAACCATGAGCTCAGCTATGCTTTATGTATCAGGCTCAACATTTCCTTTTCATTACCATATAAATGCAACTAATGTCATACAGATGATAACAATATGGCGCTGCATTTTTTACATTACAATCGTAATCCCGATCGGCAAACTCGACACTTGAAATGCAATCAAATCATATCTCTTGCACTTAGGTCAGCTGGTTTTCCTACCTCAATGGAGCCTTCTGGCTTATTTTCCGATAGTAGCATCCTGATGAGGTAACACGTATCCCATGGTCTCAAGGAAAGTTTTTAATATGGGATTTCTCTTCTCTGGACACTAACTCCCCCTCTAATTTTAACAAGGACGCTCTGAACAGAGCTCAAAATTTTAAGATCAGCAAATACAGCGCTGATTCCTCAAATTACAAATTCAAACCCATCATTTGCTCCACCTTAACTACACATGGGGATTTGGCTAAAAACTTTTTAAAGATGTTGGCCGCCTAATCAGAAAAAATTCAGGGGAGCCTCGTGAAGGTTTTTACTTAAGGCTAAGGATCGCAATAGCCATTCTTAAGACTAATTATGTTTGTTTTATTAATTCGATCTCTCCTGATGATTAGATGAAGGAGGTTTTGAATAATTTTTGCTGCTTTCGCTATTATTTATTTTGTATATTTTATGATCTATGCCTCCAGCGTCTACATGGCCGGGGGGGGGGGGGGTAGGAGACAAATGCCTCCAAAATATATTAGCATTTTTGGGGGTAGGTATCGCTTTTAAGGGGTTGTTATTAATTTTTTGGGGGTAGGCATTATTTTTTTGGGGGTAGGTATTGATTTTTGGTGGGTAATTTTTGATTTGAATTATAATCTTTTTTTAATCCATTAATTGATACGATTATGATGGTTATCGTTTGATTTTCTGAAAAATGTCAATTAAAGTAAAGATATTTGTCAATTAATAAATAATATAAATTTTCTTTGTCAACGATTTTCATTTAGCATTTTATCAAGTTAATATTTACACATTTCCTATTTGGTACTTTTCTTAGAGGTTAATATATTTATATTATGTTTTTTAATAAATTTATAGATTTTAGCAGGATAAATTTTAGGTAATTTTTTGAGTCATGCATAAAAACATATATCAGCAAGCAAAGAATAATAAAAAACATAATATGTAAAAAATTATATTATAATAATTATTTATTTCTAGATGCCAAGTAACAAAACCATATTTAAAGTTAAGTGCAATATTAAAAATTGCAAAACTTCTAAAATAAGAAGTGACAAGATACATGAACATTATAAACATAAACATCCTCATGTCAAGCCAGCTGATATGAAATTTACAAAGGTAGCCATCAAAAGAGATAATAATAATTGGGTATCTTTAAATTGTGATATTCCATATAATATCACAAATGGAGTTGAAACCCAGTTGCAAAAAAAGACAATAACATCTTACTTCCAAAAAGTAATATTTTTATTTATTATTGTAACTATAAATTTGTGAATTAATAAAAACTGATTTAAAATTTTACCAGAATAATATTAATATTAAAGTAGTCAGGGTATAGAGAAAATAAATTATATATATTATTATTTAATGTTTTTTAACTGTTTATCACACTATTTTTATATCTATATATACTTTATAAAGTTCAATTTAACAATATGTTTAATAAGTTAATAATAATAATTTAAAACCAAAGTATTAAAAAAACTTTCTAAATTAATATAATGTAGTAAAATAAGGTAATGTTAATTTCTAAGAATTTTTAAATTTAAATCTTTTCATCTTTAATTGAATTAAGACTTCAAATTCTTTTACTTTTTTTAAATATAAATCTTATAAAATATGATTTGGAATCAACTATTTTTAAAATGTTATCTGTGTGAGTTTCATCTATTTACATTATGTGTTATATTAGGTATGTTTATTATCATTGTTTTATTTAGCTATTAGAATTTCTTTAGATAATATACTTTCATCATGAATTTCACAATTTTATTTATACTTAATATTGTTTTTATTTTTATAGTCATTATAATATTGTTTTATGATTTCTTCATGTGATCGCAGTTTTATATTAATCTGCATCTATCATGCCTATGAATCTTTCAAGTATATTTTAAAAATGTTTTTACATGATCTAACAAAGTCATATTGATGTTTATGATTATTGCGTTCAAAATATGTGAATTCCCTTTGTATTCTACATTCACTTGTGCTTTACCTATTACTTGTATCATCTTTCCATTGTAACCGGACTTCATAATATTTTTAATACCTGTTTTCTCAATCATGTATTCATGTAGAATTAAAACATTTATTAAAAACTTAATTATAATGTAGTTAAAAAAAATTATCATTTGCCTAAAAATTTATTAAAAATATAGTTATCATAAGGAAAGAAATTAAACTCCTCTTTATTTATAGAAAATCTCAGTTATTGAAGATTCACAAATTGTATTATCTCCTCATCCAATCCCCAGTTCCAGTGAGGTGTTTACTTTGTATGATGAGGTATTTAATTTAAATACGAATTATATGATAACTTTTGAAAGAAATAAATTATGATTATGAGGTTAATTAAATATTTCCAACCTTTATTAAAAACTTAATTATAATGTAGTTAAGAATAAAATGACCATTTGACTAAAATTTTATTAAAAATATAGTTTTTCATAAGTAAACAAATTATACTCTTTATAGCAAATCTCCAATATTGAAGATTCACAAATTGTATTATCTTCTCATCCAATCCCCAGTTCCAGTGAGGCGCTTACTTTGCATGATGAGGTATTTAATTTAAATACGTATTATATGATAACTTTTGAAGAAAATAAATTAGGACATTTAAATATTTCCAACATTTATTGATTAACTTAATTATAATGTAGCTAAGAATAAAATGACCATTTGGCTGAAATTTTATTAAAAATAGATTTTCATAAGTAAACAAATTATACTCTTTATTTATAGCAAATCTCCAATATTGAAGATTCACAAATTGTATTATCTCCTCATCCAATCTCCGGTTCTAGTGAGGCACTTACTTTGCATGAGGCATTATATTTAAATAAAATTTATATAATGACTTTTGAAGGGAATAAATTATGAGGATATTCAAAGTCCAAGTCTTATTCAGCTATACAAAAAAAAGGAACCAAATGACCCTTTTCACTTTATATTATTTAGGATGACAAATATTTTGATAAATTTCATAATTGCTGTAGGCCCTTGTCAGCCATGTACAAATAAATTTCAATATCCTGTTACTAACAAGAGGTTTTAAATAATATTTATTTTCATTAATTTTTACCCATCCATTATTTCTATACCAATATATTTTTTTTTACTTTTTAAACAGGAGCATGAATATAACCTATTATAGAAAGGTTAATATAGATGGTTCCCTCAACCCCAGAAATTGGCTATCTTATAGCACTACTTTAGACAAAGTCTTTTGTCTATATTGTATTATGTTTGGTGGCCCTAAGTCCAATACTTTTTGGACTCAACATGGGGTAAATAATTGGAAAAACATAAAGCGTGACTTAGAGAGACACGAAGCATCTTCTCTTCATAGAGATTGTGAATATGCAAACATGACTTGGCTTGCAAATAAACGCATTCAAGATCATTTGCTATCAAATAAGCTTGATATAATCATGGAAAATCGTAATATAGTTCATAATATTATCAATGCCATTATGTACCTTATAAAATGTAATATAGCCTTTTGGGGTTCTAATTCGAATGAAGGTAATTTTATGTGTCTCATAAAATTAATGGCAAAAACGGTTCCAACTTTACGTGCATACATGGATAACAACGAAAAATTGCGGAGAAAAAAATCAGATAAAATTTCGAGACCTTATATAAATTTACTGTCATATGGCCACGTGAAAAAAATAACTGAAATTATTAAGATAAAAATAACAAAAAGCATTATTCAAACAATTAAAGAGAATCGTGCCTATAGCATCATATTAGATGGAACATATGATGTGTCTAAAAAAGAATGCATAACTTTTCTTGTACGGTATATATAAGATGATCTGCATCCACATCCTGTAGAAAGGATCATACATGTTTTTACAACATCAGAAACCACTGGGGAAAATATAAAGAAACATGTTTTTTCTAAGTTTAATGATCTTGGTCTTCCTCTTGATTATTTGGTTGGACAAAGTATGGATGGTGCAGGGAATATGAGAGGAGTATACAAAGGAATGCAGGCTTTAATATTGAAAGAGGCTCCAAAAGCCATCTATATTTGGTGCCATGCACATCGGCTAAATTTAGTAGTTGCTCATGTTTGTGGATGCAAAATTGAAATGAAAAAGGCAATGGGAATATTAAATGAGTTATATAATTTTATGAATGGAGTTAGACGTCAAGGTGTGTTTGTTAAATATCAAATGAGAAAGTCCAAGAAATCTCTTAAAAGAATTAAAAACACAACAAGGTAAATAAAATATTTTTAATGAAACTTGAAACTTATATATTTTCAGAAATTGGTCATTATCCTACAAATCTGTAGAAATCTTTTTAGATGTTTATGAACATATTTTAGCATCATTAGTTGAATTAAAAGATTCTAATGACCCAAGCACCTCTTCCATTGCCGATGGGTTATTATCAAGAATTAAAGATGAAAATTTTATATTAAGTCTTTTTATTTTGAAAGAAATATTGAAATGTACACATGTGGCTTGTATTTAAATGCAGGCAGTTGGTAATGATTTGGCTTTGGTAACCAAATTAATACAACATACAAAAAATAAATTACAAAAACTAAAAGGTTAATATTAGTTAATATTTCTATAAATAATTTTAAAATATAGCTAATGGAGACAATATATTTTTAAAATTACATTCCTTATCTAATAGTTTTTTGAAAAAGAATAATGTAATAACTGATTTGTATAATATGAAATCAATATTCAAATTGGATCAAATTCAATAATTATGTTGAACAAAAAAAAAACAAGTTGAATAAATTAAAAAAATTTAAATTATTATTTATTATTATAGATATAGAACGGAAATATTTTTCCCTGTTCTAAATGCAATAATTAATCACCTAAATGATCGATTTAATTATGATTGTTTAAATTTTTTATCACAGATATCCATTTTTACTCCCGCTGGAATTATGGATAATGAAAAAATAGAAGGATGGCAAATATCCGAAATTTGTAATACTTATCAATTGGATGTCCAAAACATTGTTGATGAATATAATGATTTTCGCTCTTTATATTTGGAGTCTCAATCAATCATTTTTTGCGAAGATCTTTTAAAAGTTAAAAAGAATGACGCGTTATATATTGATGAAAGTAATTTATTGATATTTTATTTGTAATTGTATATAATTAAAGGTATTGCAAACGATCAAATTACCAAAGAAAATATCAACAGCGAAATCATGACCAAAATAAAAAAATGGATAAAATTTTCTTTTATATTACCATACCGACTTTTAAATCAATTAAATTCTTATTCAAATTTAAATTTATTATATAAATATTTATTAACCCTTCCTACAACTTCCTGTTCAGCCGAAAGAGCCATGAGTAAAGTAAAAATTAACAAAACTCGAATGCGGAATAAAATTTCGGACCCATTTTTGGAAAATTTACTGTTAATATCCAGCGAAATGGATGTTTTTGAAAAATTTACAATTGATGATATTATAACACAATTTGCTTTAACATCAATAAGGTTATCCAAATTATTAATAAAATAATTAATGTATCTTTTTCACAGCGAATATATAGGCTTTTAAATAATGTATATTTAATTTAACATTTTATAATTTCAATGCAAAATATACTATAATTCATTTTATTCTAATATTTTATATAATAGCTCTATTTACAATACATGTTTTTAATTATGTGGAATCAAGCTAAATATACCTCTTTAAATTTATTCGTCTTATATTTTTTACAATATTTTAGATCTTTTCATAGAAATATTAATATGTTATCTCATTTAATTCACTTATATATATTTTATGAAAATAAAGTGAATACCAAATTATGAAAAGATTGCATTATTTAAATAAAAGTTCATTATCACTTACAAATTTTTAAATTTTTTTTCCCTAAATAGGCTTGAAAGATTGTAAATAGAATTATGTTGTAAGGTTATAAATGGTGGCAGATAAGATTTTTTAAATAAAATCACTATACCATCGTAGGTCTGTAAATTTCGCGGCCGAAGGCCGCAGGATTTTTTTTAGGTGGGTATGGGTAGATTTTGGAGGGGTTTGCCTCCATCAAATTTTCTGCCATGTAGACGCTGTATGCCTCAATATTGTCCTTTTGTTATTATGATTTTTTTTTCGTAAGCGTTTACTAATTATACTAATTATATATTTTTCATTTTATATAACTGTGTGATGACAGATAAATAGTAAATAATATACATTCTGTTTTTATTTCTATTTTGTCAATTTTACTTTCCTTATATTTTTATCATCGTTATCTCAAATTTTTAGATTATCGTATAAATTTAAATCTTTCTTTTTTTCTTTATTGAATATTTTTATGCATATATTTTGAAGGTAAGTTATTTGTCTAACATATTTTTATTGTATAATATTTTTTGTGCTATTTTTTATATAAAATTTTTTTTTGTTATTTTTAATGGAGGTTTTCAAAATATATTTTTTTAAACCGCTTATTTGGATTATATTATCATAATTATCATATATATGGACGATTATAATGTAATGAGGCAACAAATAAAGAGACCCTGTTTTAGACTTTACTTTAATGGCGACGAAGATATCTCTTATTATGAATAAAGAAGAAAAATAAACTACTATAATTGTTCAAAGAACATTCTAATTAATAAGAGTTGTTAAATTAATATCTTAAGAAACGAACAATGGTAATCAAGTAAAAAAAAAATTCGAAGCAATAAATATAACTCAATAAAATTTGATAATTTTGATGAACAGAATAATTTTCCAGACTATATTGAATAAATAAATTATGTTTTGAAGACAAGAGGAATATCGATGGATAAGGAAACCAAGAAAAAAATATTATTTGAAAACATGGGGACTAGTCATTAATATATACAGAATTTGAATGAACTAAATTATGATAAAATAATAGAAATAGGTAAGGCAATTTTTTGACCCAATAACTCTATTTAGTTCTAGAATTAAGTTCATTTGAATAGAAAGAGGGGAATGCAAAACAGTTGCTGAGTTTTCAGGGCGGTTTAAAATATTGGCACAAGAGGTAAGTTTGATCAGATCTTGATGAGAAATTAAAAGATCAAATGGGGGCAGGAATAAAAATGGCAGCTTTGGATAAAGATATTCGCACAAAATTTTTAGAAGGAATGAATGACCTGGGAGAAAGGGTGAGCTTTTAACAAGTTTTAAATGTGGCTTTGGCAACGCAAAGAAAGGAGAATGAAGTTACAAATATGATTGTAAAAAGGGTTAAAAATCTAAAAACAATTAGAGAATAATTAGGGAAATCCTTTTAATCAAAAATACCCACATAATTTTAAGGAAAAAGAAAATTATAATTATTACAATTGTAATATTTGAAAAATTTGGAGCCAAAAAATAAAATAGAAGAAATTAAATTAAATACTAATTCCTTTATTAAATACTATATAAATTAATCAATTATAAATTAACATAAAAGGTAAAAGTAACAAAAAAGAAAAATATTAAAAATTAAAAAAATTAATGCAAAAAGTAAAAGTAAAAAAAAAAAAGTAATCCCTTTCTATATAAACCATATTATATGGCAAGTAACAATCTCAGGGGGCTCAACTAAAAAAAATTTATGGGGGCTTCGCCCCCCATACTCCCAATTTGCAGGCCCCGCTTTTCCCAGCCTTCGGCCGGGTTTTAATATATTATACTTTTTTAAAATTTGCTAACTCTAAACAATTATTCTGAATTTCATATTTTGTCATTTATTATATTTTGCATACAAAATAAACTAATATATAAATAATTAAAACAATACAAGACATATCTAAAATAATATTTTTTTAATACAAAATCTATTATTACAGTATAGAATATTTTCGATGGTTGATATAAAAAAAATTTGCGTCTAAATAATTACAAATGATAAAAAGGTTAATTAAATCATACATATGCCTCAATTGATAATGGTTTTTAAAAACCACATAAGGCTATATAATTCTTAGTAACTTACATTGACAAAAGGTCATGAAACTAATCTCATTTATTATATCTTAAAATAATAGTAGTTTGTAATAATATTTAAAATATATTCGTATTAAAAATTTAACTCAAAACTGTTTTTCAAAGAAGAAAAAAATAACTTTCCTAAAACACGTAAAAAAGAGAAGAAAAGATATTTAATTTATTTCATCCATTGTGGGATGAATAATAAAATGTTTAATTATAATAATATTTTAAATAAATAGATGGCATTAAATAGTTGAATGCAAATTATTACTTATATTTATTATCAAAAGTAGTGTTGTTAATCGACTAAATCTAGTCGACTAACAGACGACTAACTAATTCGACTAAAAACTTTAGCAACTAAATTAGTCTATTAATCGACTAATTTGGTCGACTAAAACGACTAATATAGTCGACTAAAACGACTAATATAGTCGACTAAAACGACTAATATAGTCGACTAAAACGACTAATATAGTCGACTAAAACGACTAATATAGTCGACTAAAACGACTAATATAGTCGACTAAAACGACTAATATAGTCGACTAAAACGACTAATATAGTCGACTAAAACGACTAATATAGTCGACTAAAACGATAATATAATCGACTAAAACGACTAATTTAGTCGACTAAAACGACTAATATAGCCGACTAAAACGACTAATTTATTCGACTAAAAGAACTAATTAAGTCGACTAAATTAAGTCGATCGTTATTTTTGAACTTTATTTAAATTTATTAGGTAAAAATATATGTTGTAAAGATGTAAAAATAAAATTTCAGTGAAGATGTACCATCATAGAAAATATTAATTATCAAAATCGTTATTTTTGAAAAGTAAATAGGTAAAAATATATATTGTAAAGATGTTAAAATAAAATTTCAGTGAAGATGTACCATAGATAAGTGACAATTGTCAAAATCGCTATTTTTTAACTTTTTTAAATTTTTTTAAAGTAAATAGGTAAAATTATATATTGTAAAGATGTTAAAATAAAATTTCAGTGAAGATTTACCATAGAAAAGTGAAATTGTCATAATCGTTATTTTTTAACTTTTTTGAATTTTTTTAAAGTAAATAGGTAAAAATATATATTGTAAAGATGTTAAAATATAATTTCAGTGAAGATGTACCATAGAAAAGTGACATGTCATAATCGTTATTTTTTAACTTTTGAATTTTTTTAGAGTAAATAGGTAAAAATATATAAAGATGTTAAAATAAAATTTCAGTGAAGATGTACCATAGAAAAGTGACAATTATCATAATCGCTATTTTTTAACTTTTTTGAATTTTTTTAAAGTAAATAGGTAAAAATATATATTGTAAATATGTAAAAATATATATTGTAAATATGTAAAAATATATATTGTAAAGATGTTAAAATATATATTGTAAAGATGTTAAAATAAAATTTCAGTGAATATGTACCATTGAAAAGTGACAATTGTCATAATCGTTATTTTTTAACTTTTTAAATTTTTTTTAAAGTAAATAGGTAAAAAGTATATATTGTAAAGTTGTTAAAATAAAATTTCAGTGAAGATGTACCATTCCCCGAATACTAAGGTGCCCCCTTGGCCGATTACATAATCCATCAAAGAGGAAAAAACAAAAAGGACGATTCAGAATTAAAATCTAAAATTATACAGCTACTAGAACATAATAATGGATTGACGATAAAAAATATAATGGAAAATTTACCACCTCATCTCAAAATGAGTGATTCGGGAATATCTAGATACCTTAAATCAATGGGATGGAGAAGGAATAGGGTTGGATAAGAACCCGATAGACGGAATTCCCCAGATGTTATAAATATTCGTAAAGAATATTGCCTAAATATGATTGAACGTACCATTTCATAATATATTCTATTTAGATGAAACAGGCTTCAATTCCCACGTCATTTTCCACTATGGATGGGCACCTCTGGGTAAGAGGCCATCCGTCAAACTCCCTCCTTCAAAGGGGAAAAACGTATCGATGCACCATAGGAATAAATGGTATTAAAAAACATGATTATAGACGGGGCATTTACATCAATAAAATACAAAACTTACCTGGATAAATTATCATACATTTGCCGTTGAATTCGCTAATAATAATGTATAATGCGTCCATTTACCGAGCTCACATAATAACAGAAAACTATCAAAATATAGTATATCTTCCACCCTATTCCCCTCAATTAAACCCCTTGAGAATTTTTTTGGCATTTTGAAAAATCAGTATCGTTCTATATATCCCAAACCCAATAACAGAATTCATATAATTGAGGCTATTACTAACCTATTACTTAATTTCACTAATTTCAATTTCACAGCCTTCTATTCACATAAGATACGATATATCGAAGAGGGAATCCGATCTATTCCTTTGAACAATTAATTTAATAAATTATTACACTAGATTATTATATAATATAGATATATTTTTTGCAATACAAATAGAAAAATAAATATTTTTTGATCTTTTATTATGTAAATAAAATATACAATAAATAAAGATTTCACAAGTCATTTTCGAAACTTTAATATAAGAAAGGTAAATTTGATAGAAAATAAAATAAACAAAGAAGAAATAAGTTAAAAATGATCATATGAAAAAAGTGTTTATAAAAAGTTTCGGGATAATATTATATTTTATTTATTTTGTTATTTTTTTATAATTTTTATTTTTTTAATATTAATTTAAATTGTTTATATTTTTAATAATAATTTTTCTCCAAGATAAAAAAAATAAATAACTTAAAATATTTTTATTCTTATAATTATCGTCTAGCTGGCACCAAAGGGGAGGGGAATAATTTTATTTTTTGGATATAAAATTCATTGTTTTTTATATAATTTTTTTTTTACCAAGACGGGGGGCGGGGGGGGGGGGGGGTATTTTATTTTTAATTTAAGAAAAGATAGTAATTTTTAAAATATTCTGATATAGTAAAACTAAAAAGATTAATTTTAAGAATGGTATTGTAATTGTAAAATTTTAAATCATGATTTAAATCAGAGACTTTTAGAGGTACCATTTGCAAGGTCCTGCCGGGTTTTTTTAAAAAAAATTAGATTTGGGCTGGGTGGGGCCGAATATATTTTAAGAAAATTCGGGCCGGGTGGGGTGGGCCTTAGAAATTTTTTTTATATAAATTTATCAATTTTATGATTAATTTTTTATGTAAAATATAAATATTTTATTTATAGAAACTAGGTACCATATAATAAATATGGTTTAATTAGAGAAATTATATAAATCAATTTCTGTATTTAAATTAATTCGAGCTGGGCCGGTAAATTTTTTTTAAAAAAATTTCGTTCCGTTCAGGGTAAACTTTTTTAAAAATATTTCAGGCGGGCCTGAAAAATTAGACCCGATGCAGATCACTAATTCAAAGCTATTATTTGAATATTTTGTCATACAATGTTATAACCTTCTTATAGCAATTATATTGAAGTCAATATAATTGCAAAATATTAGAAGTTATATTACATAATTATAAAATAGTATAGGGGAGACTAGGGTTAATTAAACCCCGGGGCTTGGAAAACCATTTAATCTCATTTTAAAATTAAATAAACCATAAGGTTAAAATTTTATCCTAATATAGTTTTCATTAAGAAATGATTGCTAAATTTTTATTTAGTAAAAAAATTTGTGAAATTTTTATAAGATTTTTACATGACAAAATTTTAATTTTTATAAATTTTATTAAAAAGTTTATAAACTCTTCTATAAATTGAATAAGTTTTATGACTAGATATTATTTCAATCATGATTTGTCAATTTAGAGCTAGCGAGGTTAGCGAAACCATACACGTCAATTATGGCAGTTAAATAACGGGCGTGGACCAAAGTGAGCTCGTTTCAGCAAAAAAGTTGAAAAATAAATATTATGACAATTGTCATTTTTCTATGGTACATCTTCACTGAAATTTTATTTTAACATTTTTACAATACATATTTTTACCTATTTGTTTTAAAAAAATTAAAAAAGGTTAAAAAATAACGATTATGACAATTGTCACTCTTCAATGGTACATCTTCACTGAAATATTTTAACTTTTTTACAATATATATTTTTACCTAGTTACTTTAAAAAAAATTCAAAAAAGTTAAAAAAATAACGATTATGACAATTGTCACTTTTCTATGGTACATCTTCACTGAAATTTTATTTTAACATCTTTACAATATATATTCTTACCTATTTACTTTAAAAAAATTCAAAAAGTTTAAAAAATAACGATTATGACAATTGTGACTTTTCTGTGGTATCTTCACTAAAATTTTAACTTAACATGTTTACAATATATATTTTTACCTATTTGCTTTGAAAAATTCAAAAAAGTTCAAAAATAACGATTATGACAATTGTCACTTTTCTATGGTACATCTTCACTGAAATTTTATTTTAACATCTTTACCATTTATATTTTTACCTATTTACTTTAAAAAAATTCAAAAAAGTTAAAAAATAACGATTATGACAATTGACACTTTTCTATGGTACATCTTCACTGAAATTTTATTTTAACATCTTTACAATATATATTTTTACCTATTTACTTTAAAAAAAGTTAAAAAATAACGATTATGACAATTGTCACTTTTCTATGGTATATCTTCATTGAAATTTTATTTTAACATCTTTACAATATATATTTTTACCTATTTACTTTAAAAAAAGTTAAAAAATAACGATTATGACAATTGTCACTTTTCTATGGTACAACTTCACTGAAATTTTATTTTAACATCTTTATACAATATATATTTTTACCTATTTACTTTAAAAAAATTCAAAAAAGTTAAAAAATAACGATTATGACAATCACTTTTTTATGGTATATCTTCACTGAAATTTTATTTTAACATCTTTACAATATATATTTTTACCTATTTACTTTAAAAAATTCAAAAAAGTTAAAAAAATAACGATTATGACAATTGTCACTTTTCTATAGTACATCTTCACTGAAATTTTATTTTAACATCTTTAGAATATATATTTTTACCTATTTACTTTAAAAAAATTTAAAAAAGTTAAAAAATAGCGAATATGACAATTGTCACTTTTCTATGGTACATCTTCACTGAAATTTTTTTTAAACATCTTTACAATATATATTTTTACCTATTTACTTTAAAAAAATTCAAAAAAGTTAAAAAATAACGATTATGACAATTGTCACTTTTCTATGGTACATCTTCACTGAAATTTTATTTTAACATCTTTACAATATATATTTTTACCTATTTACTTTAAAAAAATTCAAAAAAGTTAAAAAATAACGATTATGACAATTGTCACTCTATGGTAAATCTTCACATAAATTTTAACTTAATATGTTTACAATATATATTTTTACCTATATGCTGACTAAATAGATCAACTTAGTCCACTAAATTAGTCGACTAAAACGACTAATTATTCGACTAAAACGACTAAATTAGTTGTTTTAGTCGACTATATTAGTCTTTTTAGTCGACTATATTAGTCGTTTTAGTCGACTATATTAGTCGTTTTAGTCGACTAAATTAGTCGTTTTAGTCGACTATATTAGTCGTTTTAGTCGACTATATTAGTCGTTTTAATCAACTAAATTAGTCGAATAATTAGTCGTTTTAGTCGACTAAATTAGTAAGTTTTTAGTCGATTTCCATGACTACGACTATTAGTCGATTTCCATGACTACGACTATTAGTCGATTTTCATGACTACGACTATTAGTCGTAGTCGAAAAAACTCGACTAATTAACAATACTAATCAAAAGCATTGATTAGTAAAATTTTAAAAATATTAACTGTAATATATTATATAACTGTCAAATACGTCTGCAAAAGTGACATTTTACCTAATATTTTATAAATAATTATATATAATAGAGGATTATAAACTATATGTATACACTTTTTATAAATAAATCTCTTATATTTATTTGGATTTGGACCTTGAAAATAATTTTAGAAAGAGACATGATAATTAAATTTAAAAATCAATAATATAGTTGATTAGCGATGTTGACTAATTACAATTAAATTTGTTAATTTTCAATTAATAAATGATTATATTAATTTAATTATGATTATATAATAATTTAAATAATAAAAGTAGATTCACAATGACTAATGTTGTTAAATGGTTGATTTTTTTCGACCACGACCCCTGTAGAAGTCGTAAAAATTGGCCCAACCCAGAGCCAGGGTCGAAAAATCGACCACGACCCAGCCCGACCCATTGGGCCTGTTGAGCCTACCCGGGTTGGCATACTGGGTCGGCCTGCTTGGTCGACTTGCTGGGTCGGCCTTTAATACTATAGAATGCCGATTAATGTATTTGGAGGGGCAAAAATTGAATTGAGTAGCGGCCATTTTGTGTTTGGAGCTTTTAAGAAAGGAACGTATGATAATTTCATAAATTTCAGATTTATTTTTATTACACATTATATTTATAATCATATTTTTTTACTAGATGAATAAAAAAACATTTTTAGAGCAAGTAATTTATAGTTATTTAAATATTTTCTGGTCTTTATTAACATTTACAGAGAAAGTAAAGGTGATGTTTAATCAGGGTTGGGCAGTATCGCGGATATTTGTATCTAAAATACAAGATACTTTTGTATCTTGTATCTTTTTTAAAATTTTGGAAAGTATCTTGTATTCAGTATCTAAGATACATATTATTTAAAAGTATTTGTATCTTAACCAACTTTGTATTCAAATAGATACAGATACTTTAAAAAAAATTTATATTGGTTAATTTAAATAGTATTAAAATTTAAAATGATATTGTTTAAGATTTATATGAAAAATTTAATCAAAATTTAGATATTTTAAGATAATTTTTGATACATGACGTTGGTCGTCATATAGCAATTTGCTAATTAGAACTACCATATTTGAATCGTTTTATATCTGTCTATTTTAAAATTATGGAAGAAGAAAATAGAATAATATGTTTATCTTCGTCTTCAGATGAATCTTCAACCGAAAATTATAACAATAAATTTAAACTAAGCATACTTAATGGTAAATTTTTTGAAGTACTTCAAGATGATCATAATAAA